TTACTCCAGTCACATGATCCTTCAGAAATCATTCTAATATTCTGATTTGCTGCTCAAAAACATTTATTATTATGTTGAAAACAAATGAGTAGATTTTTTTTCAGGTTTCTTTGATGAATAGAAAGTTCAGAAGAACAGCATTTATCTGAAATAGAAATCTTTTGTAACATTATAATCTTTTTGATCAATTTAAGTCATCCTTGCTAAATAAAAGTATTATAAATAAAATAAAATTGCAGTGCTAAATAAAATTTCTATAATTTCTTTCCCCCCAAAAAAATTATACTGACTCCAAGCTTTTGAATGGAATAGTGTATAATGTTATAAAAGCTTTTTATTTCAGATAAATGCTGTTCTTCTGAACTTTCTATTCATCAAAGAAACCTGAAAAAAAATCTACTCATTTGTTTTCAACATAATAATAAATGTTTTTGAGCAGCAAATCAGCATATTAGAATGATTTCTAAAGATTTAAAATAACTGCTTTCAAATAGAAAGCTGTTGTTTTAAATAGTAAAAATAATACAAAATGTTACTGTTTTTGCTGTACTTTGGATCAAATAAATGCAGCCTTGGTGAGCAGAAGAGAATTCTTAAAAAAAAAAAAAAAAAACTTAAAATCTTATAGTTCAAAACCGTTAGACTCGTAGTGTAGGCTGATTATACTGATAGATTGAAACAAATGTGCTTCAGCCAGGATAAAGAATATAAAAAGTGCTCTGAGTTGCTGCAGAAAACAAAAAAATTGAGCAACAACAAAAACATGTTGCTGGAGACGGGCTTATTATTGAAAATGCAAATTCATTCTATGCCAGCAGGAGGCGCTTTTAGAGTGATAAAACTAGCGATTTCCCTGGTAATGGCTGTAATCAAATCAGCTCCACTCTTGAACGCTACTTTATCAGATAAAAATGAAAATGTCATCGAAACTTTTCTGAAGACAGTCAATTCCCTTCAGAAATACAGGCACAAATAAATCAATGTATGGGAAACACTGGTAATGTATATCGAACTATCGGAAATGTGTTTAAAAATCATATCACCGTTATTGAAAAAAATTATATCGCAATACATATTGATATTGAATTATTGTCCAGCCCTAGTTCATAGCATACCTCTTTGTCACTTGCCTAGGCAAAATAATGGTGCAATGAACAGTTTATTTTGATTAAACGACAGTATATGTGTCTGTTCAAACTGTCATGAACATGAACATGAACATATCAGTGCAAGTGTTTCCATTGTACTGCACATAAAAATGGCCAACCAATCAGGTGTGCTTTTAGGTATGTTCCCAGAAATGCTGTGACTTGGCGGCACTCATGCACAGACTGTTTTGCCAGTGACAGTGAATAGAAGAAAAAGAATCCAGACCTGTCTCTCTTTCTCTATACTATTTTAATGGGTATTGTTTGAAAATCATCATAGCAGATTGTTTGGCCTCATTTACTTTCAGAAATCATAATTAGGGGCATTTATGACAAATATAAGTAAAATGCAAATCAAATACCGAGACAAACATGGGAATATTTATTTTAAAAAATTGGGATATCAGCATTTTGATAAGCAAATAGCATATTATACCACTCATTGTGTACCGCAGTATTCCTGCTTTTGCATAAGCACCACCTACTGTCAGAAAGGGAAATTGCATTTTCATGTAGCCTGTCTGTCAGTGTGTGTGTCATGAACATTTCTACAATATTCTTTTATAACATTGTTTGGTATAATAATATGGCTTACTCCTTTGTCTTGATAAGTGCTTTTTTAGCATTTTTACATAACAAATCATTAATATAGTAGTTTATTTTACTATTTGTTTAGATAATCATTTTTAAGTGTAATTTTTCGTATTTCTATAATGGTTTTTATAATGGTCACAATGCAACCACTCACAATGCAACAAGGTTCCAGCGACAAGCAATGTTGTCCACACTGAACTAAAAAATTAGGTATGACGCAACACAATCAACCGCAAATAGCAGCACAATGGATTTGAGTGAGTTTCATGCAGTATCTGATTTTGAACTTTGAAAAGTTCCTGTTTTGTTTCAGATGTAAACCCCACAGGGACCCTAAACTACAGTAGTTCCAGAAGCTAGGAAAATTTCCAGTGGTGGAAAAGGAGAAAAAAAATCTGATTAATATGGAAAAGATGTCTCTTATCACTTGTCACGTTAATGAGACACGTCTGGTTAGGTGTGTGGGGAACTGAAAATGTGATTTTGTTTCTTCAGCGAACACACATGAATTCACTAACGGCCGAACATACAGTCACCATACGGATGAAACCAGAAGAGCGAGAGCAGAGGAGAGGGGAGATGTATGTATTTTTTTTCTTGCTCAATCTTCATGAAAAAGCTGTCCTCAAATTTCGTCTGAGCGAATAGCGAGTATTGCCAAGAGTGCTGATATTTTTTGTGTCTGTATTCACAGAAATCAAAACTATTTGTTTATTTCTGAATAGAGCTTGGTGCGAAGAGTTGTCTGTGTTTTCTCACACTCCACAGAGGGTTACCTTTCACTAGTGAGGAAATGGGAAAACCTGGGAAAATTTTCGGATCTGTGTATTGCTCGTGACATGCAAACCTAATAAAAGCTTCAGCTTTGACAATATTCTTGTTGCTGTAAAGGAAAAATATGAACTGGCCAATTCATGTCAGAATGTAAGTTACTTAGTAGTAATTACTTATTTTTAGAACGATTACATAAAAACAATATCACACTCGAATATTGAATATCGGCACAGCTGTGAAGACCTGCAGCACAAAGTCATTCTAATATTCAGTATTGCTTGTGTGTGTGTGTGTGTGTGAGTGTGATATATAAACACATTATATAGCTGAGTGCTTTTGTTCCCAAATATCAGCACAACTGTGATTTGGACATAGACTTGAAGCCACAGACAATCACAAGCCATGCTGATATTCGGGGGGAAAAATTCCACAATTGTGAATCTGATATCGTAAATGTGATACAATTCAATCGACAACAAATTATCATTAAGAAATGTACCTTTTAGACACAGTTTTGCCAAAGCCACAGCAGAATTAACACAGTTGGTTGTGTTTTGTTCCTGAATGCGTCATATTTGATTTATAAATAGTCCCTTGTTTTGTTCAGAATAATATTTTTGAACAAATTTGTTCAAATGTTTTTAATGACTTAATGACAATCACTTACCTACAAAAAGAACTACAGAAAAATCCCCACTACCAATGCACAGACTGACATTTTGTCTGGAACACTCAAATACAGACAAGCAGAGTGATACAATCAGTAAAAAGTCCCAGTGCTGTTGGACTGGTACTGTAAATCCGCACTCTTGGAATGCTGCTTAACCAATCAGATTTGAGGACCATGACTAACTTTAATTACAGATTAAGTGCGTTTCACACTTAAAATAGTAAACACTGGGTCATTCTAAACCCCGGGTAAGGAATCCTGGGTTATCTTGTTTCACGTTTCACACTGCTCATAAATAACTTGGAGTTAACAATTAATCCTGGGTATTTATAAGCGGTCATTTCACACTGTACATTTCTAAACCCCGGGTTAACATTTTTTATATATACATTTTTGTGGTGTCAGTATCACTGATTAGACAAACACAGCACTCAACCTGTTTATATAATGGCTCTTGCATTGCGCATTATTAAATTATACATTTCAGACTGTACTATCACAAATTTTTCTGAATGGACTTTTGACATATTTCCCCTCAAACGTTTCACGCTGTACATGTGTGGCACCTCAATGTAGGGTTAACACCGCAAAAGAGGTGCTAACTGTGCTCCAGAGCAGGGTTTCAAAACCCTGGGTAAAAAGCAGTGCTAAAACCACTTCTAAATTATAAGTCTGAAATGTACCTTTACTCGAGGTTGAAAGCAAGGTTTATACTGACAGTTATCTGGGTTTAAGTGCAGTGCGAAAAGCCCTTTAAAATCATTAACCCCATTCTAAAACCTGGGTTAACAGAATCCTGGGTTGTCTTCTACTATGTTTGACGCTGTTCAATCTTCCTGAATGGACTTTTTGAACTATATAAAGCAAAAAGAAAAAAAAAATTCACACAATTGAATGTGTTTTCAATTGACACATTTTCCACCACCATTTGAGAGTTTTTCTCCTTCAGCATTGAAACGTACTCGGTTACTAATGTAACCTCGGTTCCCTGAGATATGGGAACAAGTACTCCGTCGCTAAGATGCTATGGGGAAAACTCCTTTTTCTCCGATTACTGAAGCCTTTTTGAATAACGCAGTGTAACTGCACGGCCATTGGTTTGTGCAGTGAATAAAAAACGAACCAATGGCTCGGCAGCGGAGCTGTCGCCATGAAACCCGCCAGAGCCAGCCAGAATCGGCGGGGACATCTGGCTATATAAGTGGGCATTCTGACATAGGATCTTCAGGTTAATTCGACTGAAGTGACTACACTGAGTTGTGCAGCTACATAGCATGGCTAGCAACGCAGTACTCATTCCCGTATCTCAGAGAACTGAGGTTACGTTAGTAACCGAGTACGTTCCCTTTCGATACTTCACTCCTACTGCATCGCTATGGGGAACCAGTACAATTACGCCGTGCTATGGTAGAGGAGCGACTCATATGTGAACTTTCCTTAAGCAGCCAAGGGGCTCAGAGGGACAAGTATATAATAGGGTAAGCCCTTCATGTGGCAACGGGCTAAACTCAGAGGTCATGCCCGGCCTGGGCAATCGTTCCAAGAAAAACTCCTACAGCCTCGGCACTTAGGGAGGGCAGAGAGCGTACAAGAAATAAAGCAATTCTGGCGAGTTTGAGCATGTTATGGCCAAACCCTACTCAGAGCTAGTCCCGCTTTCTGGCAGGTGCATGCCAACTATGCAGAAAAGACCCTAGCCTGTAAGGCAGGGATGTCCAGGTTGTAAAACCTAACAAATGTGGACGGCGAGGCATTGCAGGCCCAAGGAGAGGAGTATGTTAGCGTATTAGCGTCAACTGTCCACCAGGAAAGTCTCTGCTTCGTGACCAGATGGCCTTTGGTGCGGCCTCCGAAGCAAACAGAGTTGTTCTGGCTGCCTCAATGTAAATTCTCTGTGCCCACTGGGGCAGAGTAGATCCAACTCCTGGTCCTCCTCCGAGGGAGGAAGTGCAGAGAGTGTAATGACCTGTGCTCTGAACGGAGTGGAGAGCACTTTAGGTACATAACCATGCCTTGGCTTCAGGACGTCCTTAGAGACACTGGGCCCGAACTCAAGACAGGTAGGGCTCACAGAGAGCGCCTAGGCAGTCGTGGCCTAAAGGTTAGAGAGTCGGACTTGTAACCCGAAGGTTGCGGGTTTGAGTCTCATGTCCGACAGGAATTGTCGGTGGGAGGAGTGAATGTACAGCGCTGTCTTCCACCTTCAATACCACGACTGAGGTGAGATCCTTGAGCAAGGCACCGAACCCCCAACTGCTCCCCGGGCGCCGCAGCAATATGGCTGATCACTGCTCCAGGTGTGTGTTCACAGTGTGTGTACGTTCACTACTGTGTGTGTGCACTTGGATGGGTTAAATGCAGAGCACAAATTCCGAGTATGGGTCACCATACTTGGCCACGCGTCACTTCACTTTCACTGCAAGTCTCCCATTCGCTTGACCGATGCTAAGTCTAGTAGCAGAGCGGTTTTCAGCGACAAGAGCCGAAGGTCGGTCAACATGCATAGTAAAGGGTAAAGGGTAACGATAAAGGGGTGAGGCTGTTTCAGCCTCTTGGACCCCTTCAAAAAGCGGACAACTAAGTTTTTCCTGCCCACCGACTGGCCAGCTATAGGTGCGTGAGAAGCTGCTATAGCTGCTACATAGACCTTGAGAGTGAATGGGAAACAACACTTATCCAGCAACTCTTGGAGGAAGGACAATATCAACGATATGTCACAGGAGGTTGAGAGCACCAGGCGGAGAAGACAGACCATTTAAGGGTGTAGAGACGTCTCGTAGATGGGGCCCTAGCCTGAGAAATTCTATTTAGAATGCTCTTGGGGAAAAGCGTAAAGGAGGAGGTTTGGCCAGTTGTGGGTCAAAGCGTCCTTGTCCTCCAAAAAATACGTTGGGCAGTGAGAGTTGTCTTTTGAGGTGAAGAGGTCGACCTCTGCCTTCCCAAAGATCTCCCAGATTTTCTGAACCGTTCGTGGGTGGAGCATCCACTCCTCTGAGGGGACGTTGCTCCGGGACAGCATGTCTGCTCCTTGGTTCAACCTGCCCGGCACATGCATTGCTCTCAGCAAACACAAGTTGAGCTGTGCCCATTCCAAGGGGTGCTCCACCAGAATGAAGTGGCACTTTGAGGAGAACCCTCTAAGACGAGCCAGTAGTCGAGGTAATTTAGAATGCGAATTGCCATCTGTCTCGGAGGGGAAGGAGCCGCATCCATGCGCTTCGTAAAAGTGCGAGGAGCCAGGGACAGTCCGAAGGGAAGGACCGTGTATTGATATGCCACTCCCTCAAAGGCGAATCTCAAGAATCGCCTGTGATGGGGGTTATCTGGATGTGAAAGTAGGCGTCTTTCAGATCCAGAGAAAAGAACCAGTCCCCTGGGCATACTTGCAAGAGGATCTTTTTCAATGTAGTCATCCTAAATGGAGGTTTCATGATGGCACGGTTCAGGTGCCTGAGATCCTTTTTGGGGATGAGGAAGTAACGGCTGTAAAAGCCTGACTCGCTCTGGGTTGGAGGAACCGTCTCAACGGATCCTTTTGCCAGTAAATTCATCACCTTGGAGTGCAGGACGTGCGCATCTTTGCTCTGTACCGAGGTGGTAACCATGCCGCTGAATCGCGGGGGTCTTCGTGCAAATTGAGTAACCTCGTTTTATTATCCCCAAGACCCAGTCTGACACTCCAGGGATGGCCTGCCAGGCCTCGGCCTACGCAAAAAGGGGTTGGATTGATTAGAGAATAAGTCGCTGTGAGGGGACCTGACACTCGTGATAAGTGGAAGAGGAAATTAGCTCTCTTTTTGAGTATGTTTGTGTTTTATTTTGCCCGCTATCACAGCGGAGAGGTCTGTGGGTGCTTGAACGGGCCCAGCATTCACAACAAACACATTGACCTCGGCACCGGAACTGAACGGGGTGCTTGGAGGAATACTCAGGCTGCTTGAGGGGTGGTCCGGCTGCAGCAAGACTTTGCCCCTTCCTCTTCCTGTCCTTAAGATCAGGATGACGCCTGAGGCACAGGATCCAGCGCTATCTTGGGCCTGGAGCCCTGACGCTTAGGCAGATGAAGTCGAAGCATGCAGGCGGGCTGAGTAGGAGGCGCGCCACGATCTGGTGAGCTCGTTGTGGACCTCCAGGAAAAACAGAGAGAGGCTCCCTGACGAGGGGCTTGTCGGTGCCCCGGCAGGAACCATTCGTCCAGGCGGCTGCAAGTGGGCTCTTCTGGGGAAGACCACTTAAATTCCAGCTCCTCTACTGCTTTCGAGAGGATGCGGAAAAGTACAGCGTCTATTCAGGGCCTGGCGTCACTGGGCTCGGACAACAGCAAGGGGGTGGGGCCATTAACTGAGCCCGACAGCTCCTCTGCATCGGAGGCTGCTAATGACATGCTGTCATTGAGTAGCTCGTCGTCACTCCCACCGAACGAGACCAGATCGCTCGCGCTGGCGGAGTGGACGGGGGAAGAGGACGAGGGAAGCCTCTCTGTGCGGAGAGAGCGAGGCACGTGGGACTTGAGCCGGCGTGAGCTCGCTCGTCTCAGAGCGCTGAGATCCTCTGCCCCACAGTTTTTTCCTCACAGGTCCCTGGTAGGAAGAAACTGGGAGGGCGCAAGGGGCGGAGTCACTCTCTGAAAAGAGAGCTATCCGCGAGCGCAGACTGGCGAGACTCGTGTTCTCGCAGTGAGAACAATTCATCTCCATAAGGGCGGCTTCCACATGGGAAATCCCCAAGCAGGAAGCGCACTCACCGTGACTGTCATCAGCGTGCAGGGGAGACAAGCTGCTATAATGGTGCAGCATTTGAAACAACGCTGTGAAAATTTGCTATTTTATGCTCACCGGATGGCGGCAGGGGAAAAACCGTGACTGCTGCTGCTGCGACGCTAAAGGCAGCGGGAAGAAGCGGTGAATCTGCTGAGCACAGAGGTCGCTGGCCGGCTTGTTCCGCTGCAAGGCGTGTCTACGACAAGAAGGTTTCAAGTCTCGTAGATCAGCGAAGAATGTCGTCGTCACTGAAGGAGAAGAAATCTGAGGATCCTATGCCAGAATGCCCACTTATATAGCCAGATGACCCCACCCATTCTGGTGGGCTTCATGGCCATAGGCTCGTGCAGCTCCACTGCTGAGCCATTGGTTCATTTTTTTTATGGCCGTGCAGTTACACTGTGTTATTAAAAAAGGCTTTCTCCATAGCGTCTTAGCGACACAGTACGAGTTAAGTATTGATAGGGAATGATTGTTTATTCAAAATACAGGGTTTTTGTGACTAGTGACATGTCAATATGAGGCACCCACTCTTCAGTTTCTGATTGAGTGTCTATTGGTAAGCATCTAGCCACATTGTTTCACACTGCACATGTTTGTCAGTAGGGTATCATAACCCTTGTTAAAAGTGTTGCTAACAACCATTCTAAATTACAAGTGTGAAACATTTCTCTACCTGGGGTTAAAAGCAGGGTTTAGAACAACAATAACTTGGTGTTAAGGGTTGTGTGAAAAGCCCTACTTACTGTAGATTAATTTCATTATTCTTACTGAAAGCTATTTATCATGCTAGGCTTTGTTTGAGTTGTTTGATAAAAGGGCTTAGGTATCAATACACATTTCCCAATTCAATACAATTCCATTTCAAAGGTTTTCGTATATATTTCAGTGTCCAATTTGACTACAGATGAAGAAATTCTTTCTGCTTACACTGTAAATATCCCAGGGCAGTGTTTAAGACCGATTCAAACAGTAACTCTCATTAATATTCATTAAATAAGCAACTTACAAAAGTCATTTGTTCAAGAAATTGAATTATACGGTTGCATTGTGTTTAGTTTTGTGTATAAAATAAACAGAGTTTTTATCATGTCACTGAAGATTTAGTGCTGCTTAGAAACTGCAGAAAAATGATAAACCGAACCTTCTAACATTATGAAAGCATTAAAAAAATTAACAGCAGGGCCTATCCACAAGCGAGTTAGCTCAGCAGTATGAAGTGATATCTGCAGGACATAGTGTTGTTGAAAAATATTTTCACGCAGCCACTGATAATAGCCATAAAGTAAAATATTGACCATGGGATTTTAAGATTCGGTGTTTGGATTGTTTAAATAAAGATCACAATTTAACAGAAAATCTGTATTTTTACACAGTCCTGTATGAATGTTTCATTCTGTTATTCTTGTTTTAAAGTGACACATGTATAATGACTGATGCTGGTGTCTGTTCTTTAGGGTGGGTTCTCCATGTTTATTCAGCTGATGCCAATCGTTGTGCTGGTCTTGGTCTCAATCTTCAGCCAGCTTCTGGTGTCCACACCACCTTATAGCCTGTACTCCAGACCGTATGTCATAATACCTTATAATACATGCCTCACACTACCTTAAGCCCGGTTCAGACTACACGATTTTTTTGCCAGATTACACGATTTTGACTCCTAAAATCTTGTCGTGTCGTGAACAAGAAACATATCAGACTACACGTTTCTACCCGAACATTCTTCGTTTGCCGTCTTTAACGACGTGCGTGCTTGTCATCGATAGTGCGGGACTAGACAGATGGTGACATAAGTGTAAACAAACAATGGCTAGCAAACAGCGTGTTCTGCCCTGTCTTGTCGTCATAAAAGCCCAAAAAGAAAGAAAACCTGACAGGGACACAAATCTGGATTGCATGAAGAGGACTCTCAAATAGAACTGAGGTAAAATAGTTTTTAACTGACCTTTTCCACTCTGTTGCGGTAATCCCTCGAGAAAACATCATAAATGCAGGAGTATTGTAGCCATAGCTCCACGAACATTTCCTCCATTGTAAAATTACACCTAGCAGGACCGATACCGTTGTCTCTCTTTCATTTCGGCATGTTTGAAAGCATGTATGAAGGCACTTCTCTGCTCCTATTGGCCTGTGTCTGTGACGGAACTCGTTTTGGACGACGGAAAAAAATTAAACATGCTAGACTTTCTGTGTTGACTTCGTGAAGCGTCGCAGACATGGCATCGGTTGTCGTGCACTATGACACACTACACGAGATGAAACGATTGAATCTTGCGTCCCGATGCCCATTGTCGTATACGAATCCCGACGACACCCTACGTCAAGCAAATCGTGCCAAAATCGTGCTAAAATCGTGTAGTCTGAACGGGGCTTTACAGTTTACACTTTAGATAATGTGTAATAATGCCTTATGTTATATGCCTAACAACTTGCATGAATTTCACATGATTATCACAAATAACTTATAATGTAAGTCATTACAGTTTATGGCCTCCACCTGCCTGTATGCACTCCTGACAACGTCTAGTAGACATGCTCCTGACAAGATGGCAGATGTTGTCCTTGGGATCTCCTGTCAGACCTGGATCAGGGCATCAGTGAGACCCTGGACAGTCTGTGGTGCTACTTGGCGGCTTCAGATGCTCCGATACATAACGTCCCAAAAGTTCTCAATTGGATTCAGGTTTGGGGAATGTGAGGGCCAGTCAATGGCATGAATGACTTTATCATCCAGAAACTGCCTACACACTCTGGCCACATGAGGCCGGGGATTGTCATGCACAAGGAGGAATTCAGGGCCAGCTGCACCAGCGTAAGTTCTGACTGTGGCTCTCTGAGGATTTTATCCCGGTGCCTGACAGCAGTAAGGGTACTGTTGGCTAGCATGTGGTGGTCTGTGTGACTCTCCAAGGATATTTCTCCCCAGACCATCAGTAACCCACTGCCAAACCGGTCATGCTGGATGATGTTGCAGGCAGCTAAACGTTCCCCATGGCATCTCGAGACTGTTTCACATCTGTCACATGCTCAGTGTGAACCTGCTCGCATCTGTGAAGAGAATGGGGCACCAATATCAGACCTGCCAATTCAGGTGTTCTCTGGCAATGGCAATTGAGCTGCACCGTCCTGTGGCTGTGAGCACAGGTCACACTAGAGCAGGGTTTCGTAAACAGGGATTTTTCATGGAGAAATTTCAGAGGGTCTGTGAGTTGATGAACAGCTATTAATTAATTATAATTAAATCATACATTTAAATAAATAATTTTTAAAAATCTAATGTTAAAAAGTGTAATTAAGAATGTTTATAAGCGCAGCACTGTTTCTGCTGTTCCTTAAGTACCACCTAACCAGCTCATTTTAACAATACTATAACAATAACTGTGATCATTTTGGTCACTATAATCATGATATGAAATTTTCATGCAGCTTTATCTCTAATAACGATAGCTATGTAAAAATAATTCTGATAAAAACTTTAAAACGGATTAAAAAATAGGGTTACACTTTATTTTAAGGTCCAAAGGTGGTGGGGGTCATGTTCTAAAAAAAAAAACTAGAGGATGTCGGGCCCCTATGCCACCCTCCTGGAGTCTGTTTCTGACAGTTTGGTCAAAAACATGCACACCAGTAGCCTGCTGGAGGTCATTTTGAAGGGCTCTGGCAGAGCTCCACCTGTTCCTCCTCACACAAAGTCCTGCTGCTGGTTTGTTACCCTTTTATGGCCCGTCTCCTGATATCTCCTCTATGCTCTTGAAACTGCCAGGAGACACAACAAACCTCCTTGTAACGGCACATATGGATGCTCCATCCTAGAGAAGCTGGACTACCTGTGCAGCCTGATTAGGTTGCAGGTACTGCCTCATGCTACAAGTAGGGACAAGGACCCTAACAAAACACAAAACTAGAGACAAATCAGGATAAGGAAAGAGCTATTGCCTGTGGCCTGCAAAACCATTCCCTTTTTGGGTGTTGTCTGGCTGTAGCCTCTCCAGTACACCTGTTGTCACTTTCATTTGCACCAAAGCAGAAGAAACTGATACACAATCAGTTATGCTTTCTAACAGAATCATATCCCTGAAGTTTAACTGACTTTGTGTTATACCGTGCTGATTAAGTGTTCCTTTAATTAAATTTTTTTTTAGCAGTATATATATATATATATATATATATATAATGTATGTACAGTTGTTCTCATAAGTTTACATACCCCTTGAAGTATATGCAAAATGTTAAAAATTTTCACAAAATAAGAGGGATCATGAAAATCCCTTTAGTACGTTTTTATTTAGTACTGTCTTGAATAAGCTATTTCACATAACGGATGTTAATATATACTCCACAAGACAAAATAATACTTGAATTTATAAAAATGACCCCGTACAAAAGTTTACATACCCTTGAATATTAATACCGTGTGTCATTTCCTGGATGATCCACGACTGTTTTTGCGTTTTGTGTTAGTTGTTAGTCGGAAAACCAAACAATGTGCAGGAGAAGGAGAATTTTTCAGAAGAACGGCTGGCAGTTTATCTGTTCAGGACAAACAAGGGACTCATGAACAACTAACACAAAACATAAAAACAGACGTGGATCATCCAGGAAATGACTCACAGTATTAAGATTTAACTTTTGAATGGGGACATTTTTACAAATTCAGTTATTATTTTGTCTTGTTGAGTATATATAAACATATGTTATGTAAAATAGCTTATTCAAGACAGTACTATTAAATTAAAATATTAAATTAAAAATAACATGCAATTTTCATGATCCCTCTTATTTATGAACATTTTGCATATTCTGCAAGGGGAATGTAAACTTATGTGCACAACTGTGTATATATATATATATATATATATGTGTGTGTGTGTGTGTGATCTTTAATATTATTATATTTTGGCCCCTAATAATAATAATCCTAACAAATACAAAAGGGAACCCTTGGACCCTTTATAATAATACTAAATAAGAAAATCTGAACAATTGTAATAGGATTTCTACAGTGGGGCTTGGCCCACAAATAATATATAAAAAGAAAATCTGACTAATATAATAGGGTTCTAGAGCTTTTAAATTCCAGAGTGTTTTTTTCATACTGTGTGTTAAAACTGTGCAATAGATGTAATCTCTGCTCCTTCACATCCAGGTCCACAGGACAGACTGTTAAAAGACAAACCGAAAACCTGCATGTGGACTATTTTGTCACCAGAGATTTCAAATCAGAATATAAGGGCTCAGCTTTGCTAAAGATTGAGAAGAGTGTAGAAGAGGATTATGTTTCTAATGTGCGAAACAACTGCTGGAGGGAAAGACAGACAAGTATGTGCCATTATTTCATCTTTATCTTAACCATCTTATTGTTCTATTAGGGGTTTATTTACACACATTAACAGGTGGATATGCTTGAGTATGCTCTGAGGTCCTAATGAAAGTTATTTTAAAACCATGTTTCATATAAACTCAGCAAAAAAAAAAAAAAAAAAATGGCATGCTGGATTTCAATGTAATGATCTTCGAGCCACTTCTTTATCACTCTTGCTTTGTGACATGGTGCTCCATCATGCTGGAAAATGCACGGATCATCACCAAATTGCTCATGGATCGTTGGAAGTCGCTCTTGCAGGACATTTTGATACCATTCTTTGTTCATGGCAGTGTTTTGGGGCAGAATTATGAGAAAGCCCACTCCCTTGCTTGAAAAGTAACCCCACACATGGATGGTCTCAGGATGCTTCAATGTTGGCACAACACAGGACTCATGGTAGCGTTCACCTTTTCTTCTCCGAACAATCGATTTTCCAGATGTCCCAAACAGTCGGAAGGGAGCTTCATCAGAGAAACTTGTACTCTGCTTGTACTTTCTGCAGAATTTCAGTCTTCCCTTTTTCTTGGAGAGAAGTGGCTTCTTTGCTGACCTTCTTGACACCAGTTCGTTGTCCAAAAGTCTGAGATACTGTATTTTAAAGATGATTTTGTAAAAATCCAAATAAGCTTTACAGATCTTTATTGGAATGGGATTAAACAATATTTGTCATACAATTATTGCACATGCACCTATGGAACAGTCCTTAAGACACTTACGGTTTACAGGAGATAAGCAAGTAAGGTCACATTTACAATACCTTAGGATAGTAAAGAGACCTTTCACACTGAAAAACAGCAGAATAAAGATACAGAATAGCCCTGCTGCAGGGAGGCATGAGGATTGCAGATGTGGCCAGAGCAATAAACTGCAAAGTCTGTAATATAAGATGCCTAAGACAGCTGCAGGGAGACAGGAAGGATAGCTTATCATCATTGCAGTATCAAACCACCTGTAACGATGTGTGTCCCCCCCAGCCATGTTTGAGAACTTGCCTTGATGGAAGAGTAGGGTAACATCTTGCAGCAAGAACTGGCAAATCTCTTGCAGTCCATGAGGATGAGATGCATCGTAGTACATAAAGCAGCTGGTTGACACTGCACACACAAGATACTCGACTGTGACTTTTGATATTGGCACCTGCCCCACCCCACCCCCTTTAAGGAACCCATTATTCCATTTCAGTTCGATAAATCCCTTTGAAACTTGTTCAGTTTATTTCTCAATTGTTTAACTTTTTATGTTAAAACAAATATTTACATTTGTTGTACACATACAGTTGAAAGTGAGAGGAAGTTTCTTTTTTTGTTTTCTTTTTTTCTGCTGAGTTTATATGGGAAACCATTGTTTAAAAGAGTAAATAGTACATAAAGTACATGTGTAAAGTACATTAAAGGGATAGTTCACCCAAAAATTAAAACTCTGTCATTCTGACCTTCGTTCATCTTTGGAACACAAATTAAGATATTTTTGATGAAATCCGAGAGCTTTCTGACCCTGCATAATCGGCAATGCAACTGAAACGTTCAAGGACCAGAAAGGTAGTAAGGACATTGTTAAAATAGTCCATGTGACATCTGTGGTTCAACCGTAATTTTATGAAGCTATGAGAATACTTTTTGTGCGCAAAGAAAACAAAAATAAACACACGTTCACGAGAGTACCACGACGCATGCGTGTGCATTCCTCTGCTTGTAAACAAGGCGCAGTTACTCAGCAAGGTACTCTCATGAATGGCAGAAGGTAGACACAGAAGAGAAGAAATTGCTGAATAAAGGTGTTATTTTTGTTTTTTTCGCGCAAAAAAAGTATTCTTGTAGCTTCATAAAATTACAGTTGAGCCACTGATGTCACATGTCAATAGACTATTTTAACAATGTCCTTACTACCTGTTTGGGCCTTGAACGTTTCAGTTGCATTGCTGTCTATGCAGGCTCAGAAAGCTCTTTAAAAAATCACTTAATTTGTGTTCCGAAGATGAACGTAGGTCTTACGGGTTCGGAACAACATGAGAGTGAGTAATTAATGATAGAATTTTCATTTTTATATGAACTATCCCTTTAATGTACATGTAAATGTAATATTTTGTACACCATGTCATCTCCTTCAGAAACAGACCTACTGTATGCTGCTAAGGTCTACAGAGACGAAAGACTACAGCGGAAGGCTGAGCTCATGACCATGGAGAACTGCAAAGAGCTGGATAGATTAAATGATCTGTTCCGTGGAGGATAAACCTGAAACTGAAACTAATGGACATTTATGAAAATAAGATACCATAGGTATAAATGTAAATATTTATTGTTTGGTGTTTTTTTTTTTTTTACATTCTTATAGAAAGAAAACATATTTAACTAATGAGAGAGTTCAAAAGTCCCTCATCTTCCACTGCAATATACTTTGCTTCAAGGTTTTTCAAATCAACTGAGAAAAATATCATTTTTACCTAGCAATCCATTTTTAATCGGTTTCTCTTTTATGCCTGACTTGACTAAATCGTGAGAAATGATCTTAGATGTTCTACACTTGAACACAACCTTTTTTTTTCCCTTTCTTCTTGACTTCTTGAACCCAAACCTTTGACTTTTATTGACTCCATGTCATTGTTGTTCTCCGTGTTAAGTTTTTAAGTGCTACTAACTTGAAGAGACCACTATTTTGAATCTTAATGAAACTTAAATTGTACAAATAAAATAAAAACATTTAAACAGAGGACTACTCTTTTGTTTATCTTTGGAACACAAATAAAGGTATTTTTAATATTCTCCTTGTTTTGTCCATCCACTGAAAGTTCACATAAACAAAACTTTCACATGTCAAAAGGTATAAAAAAAATTTAAAAAAAGAATCCATGTGAATCAAGCATACAGAACAGAATTAATTTAGGCTTTTTATTGTTTTATAAACATTTATTAACATGCATAGAGTTCACCAAATATGTTAAGCATGGAAGCTTATCCATGCTTGCTTGATGTGTGAGAACAAACCTCATTGGTTCTCTTGCATCAAGAACGCACAGCTGAGCTTATGACATATAATGATAACAAACTATCCCCTTTTAAAGAACCATTGTTTATGTTAATCGTTTATTCAAAATTATTCTCCTCTCTGAAATACTATTAATTAATGCTGCTGTGTTCTAATCTGTTATTTTTTGAGATATAACAGCAATCCTAGTGAAGTAAAAAAAAAAAAAGATAAGCAGAACGTGCCACTAAATTGCCAATTTACATCTAGTGATACATTATATAATGTAAACAGTAAATAATAATTAAAAAATGTCAGACTACAACAGTTATGGAGAGGAAACTATTTTACAATAATCCACCTTGGCAAAACTTCTTGCAGGTTATTTATTTTATATCACAATTAAAGCATTTGTCCCAGTAGTTTTTATGACTAAGTTACAATTAAAAGCAAATATTTAAAATTATTCTTAACCCTAAAATTCATATGGGGGTCAAAAATGACCAGTATGTCCCCAATTTATTTATTTTTTTACTTACATATTTTCCTCTCATTTACTTTACATTTTTAAATTACAAAGGAATTAGTTTTTTATTACTCCTACAATGTATAAGATGGTCAAATGTGTTTAATTGCTGTTAATAACATAATAAAGTGGTATTACAGTAATTATACATTTTCCTTAAGTAATTAAGTGGTACATATGTTAATCATGTATGTAACATGTAAGTAACAAGTTGTCATTCAGGCAATGTGTTGTTGGTTTTTTTTATCAAAAGTACATAACATTTTAACTGAATTAAGCTGGATGATGGCACTATCATCTTCTGTAGAGTTGCTTTGCAAATAAATTGCATCTTGCAACATCAACACTGGTATGGAAATGAATTGAATTGATATTGAACTGACTCCAGCTGAATAACGAAACTATTTTTTAGAGCTGTTTTACAGCAGAATCTGAATTGTCTCCATAGTTGAATGAGGATGGGAAAAAATTTACAATACACCCAGATTAAAACAATTTTGTTACAGTAAACAAAACACCAATACACAGCAACCACAATAGTCTTATGTTTACACTGCAACAAGCTTTTAGGAAGGCACCCCTAAAAATACGCTGATACTTTATCAAACATGGACTTGAATATTTTACATCAAAACTAACAGCAACAAACATTTGTTTATTGAGCATTTCCTTCTCAAACTCTGCCTAAACTTTACTCAGTTATGTGTGCCACTTTAAATGTACTGCAGTTTCCATGTGAGGATTGCTTTGACCTTGAAATGGATAAAAGTGTAGTAGTAGTAGTGTACTAGTGTAGTAAAGTTACAAGTCACATTTTGATAAATATATGCATATGATTATTATATTTTTACTTAACCTGTGTATTCAACCTGTAACGATTTCTTCATTAGGCTATTTAAGATATGTTTTAATAAATCTGTCATGAAACTACAGCCATTGTTTAAATGTTTATATTTCACCAACAAATTAGAGTAGAAACATAACTCTAAAAAAAGGTGACTATATTATTAAAAAGTTTATATAAAAATTGTCTTACGTGCAATTTAAATGTTTGTACAACTTATTTGTATTTGAGTGTTGATTATTAAATACATTTGATTAATTAATTATTATATAAATGCTATTTTAATTTCTGTTTAGGTTTTCAGCTAAATGAACATTTTAGTTTTGCTTTCAGTGTTTCAGAATAAAAAATCCATCCATACATACATACATAAATCCATGAGATTAATTAAAAAGTCTAATATCAATAGAACTATACGCAAAAACTGTCATTTTTGTTTTTTGGCCAAATGCATCCTGAATTTTCATTTCAGTACATTACAGTATGTATTTACACAGGAATTACAATTGCCGTAAACAATTAATATTTTGTTTTACAGTTCATGCCTAAATAATGGCCTTTATGTGAGAACATCTGGTTTTATGTTTATTTACATTAAAGGCAATATAACTGAAATAATAAGAGCACAAGTATAGATCTGGAACTTCTTTAAGTCTGTCTAAATATCATTTTGTGATTGCAATGTCTTCTGGTCCATATAGGAAGGTGTGCTAGACACTGATTAAGGTAACATAAAAATACTATACATATTTATATATTTTGCTATTGTATTGTGGAGTGACACTTTCGTAAACTTTTCTATACTCCTCTGATTATATAATGATAAATATTACAATAACATAGCACAACAACAATGATAAGCCTAATACTCACAATAAAATAATTATAATATAAGGATTATCCTTCACCTGAAATTTTTGTCTTTTCATCCTGAAATGCGAGGCAAATGTTGGATCACAATAATTAGGAACCACAGTTTCCACAAATCCCTTCACTCGATTGGGATGTTCTCTTTTATTCTGGAAGGCAAGGTCAGTGACTGTAACAGCAAGTGTATTTTGCAGTATTAAACACATATTTATACCGATTTAATCAGGCTCCGAAAATTCTTCAAAAAGAGCACAAAGAATGGCCTTCTCAGCTCCCATAGTTGCAACCCTTGCATCATCAGAACAGGGTGTTCAAAGCACCACCGTTTCCGTTTAAAAAAACGTTTTGCACCGTTTTGTCGGGCCTGAACGCAACCCTAAGCTCTCAGGCCTCCGTTGGTAAAAAAAAAAATAGCCAATCACCATCGAGTGTTCACTTTCAGCGCTGAGGAGTGTTGAGAAAAGAAACCTTGCAAGGGAGGCTAGCCTCCCTTCTGATGTCAACCAATCATCATAGAGATGTAAATTACGTGATATTAGTTTGAACGTCTCCTGCTGCGCTTATGATGAGTAAGCGATATTGAATATTTGATCGCCAACAGATTTACCAAGCTGTCATTCAAACAGTACTCACTAAAAAATGTTGGGTTAAAAATAACCCAACTATGGGTTAACATAGCACCTTCCCAACTGTGGGTTATTTTTAACCCAATGATTGGGTTAAAAGCCAGTTGGGTTAAAAATAACCCAACAGTTGGGTTAACTATTTACTTTTATTCATGAGATTATTTTAATGAATAAAATACACTGTTTTCAAATACAGATTGTTTAAGTAGAAAAACAATAAATCTGTTTTTAAAAAGGTTTTAAGTTTTAAATGACAAATGTACTCAATATTGGTGACGAGCCTAGTATTCAAATACAGATTGATTATTTAAGTAGAAAAACAATAAATCTGTTTTTAAAAAGGTTTTAAGTTTTAAATGACAAATGTACTCAATATTGGTGAGCCTAGTATTTAATATAAATATGCACAATTATTTGCATATATTGAATTCAAAATACACGAGTGAACATATAGAACACATGACAAATAAATGTTGAAGTACAAATATTCAAAATACACATTAAATTCAAAACAAATGTACACATACAATATACATAAAATACACGTTAAATTCAAAACACAAATATGCACATACAGTACAAATATTTATAACAAATGTGCACATACGGTATACAAATTCAAAACAAATGTGCACATACGGTATACAAATTCAAAACAAATGTGCACATATGGTATAATATGCACATACAGTACAAATATTCATAACAAATGTGTACATACGGTATACAAATTCAAAACAAATGTGCACATACGGTATACAAATTCAAAACAAATGTGCACACAGTATACAAACTCAAACAAATGTGCACATACAGTATTCCAATTCATTACAAATGTGCACATACGGTATACAAGTGCACATACGGTAAACAAATTTAAAACAAACGTACACATAAGGTATACAAATTCAAAACAAATGTGCACATACGGTATACAAATTCAAAACAAATGTGCACATACGGCATACAAAAAAAGGTGCACATACGGTATACAAATTCAAAACAAATGTGCGCATACGGTATACAAAAAAAAGGTGCACATACGGTATACAAATTCAAAACAAATGTGTACATACGGTATACAAAAAAAGGTGCTCATATGGTATACAAATTCAAAACAAATGTGCACATACGGCATACAAAAAAAGGTGCACATATGGTATACAAATTCAAACAAATGTGCACATACAGTATACAAATTCAAACAAATGTGCACATACAGTATTCCAATTCAAAACAAATGTGTACATACGGTATACAAAAAAAGGTGCTCATATGGTATACAAATTCAAAACAAATGTGCACATACGGCATACAAAAAAAGGTG